CAATAAGATCCATCGTCAATTACTTTTTTATTTTTCAACATAGCAATCTCAAACCACTGTCAATATAGATAGTGACCACTCTTCAACATTTCACACCTGTGAGTTTGTAAAAAAAAAAAATGTGTAAGAATTTGTTAATTAATTAAGCACATTGTAAATGCTCTGTATTTGTATTGCGCCTTTCTAGTCTTTTAGACCACTCAAAGCGTTTTTACACTACATCTGCATTCATCATTCAGTGAGCCTAAGTGCTCAAACAGAAACTGAACGGCCGACCTTCCGATTAACAGGCAACCCACTCTACCTCCTGAGCCACAGCCGCCCCTCATTGCAAGGTTGACATTTCAATATATGAAAAAGCCCCTATAAAATCATTGAAAAGTACATATTTCAGGCAAAAGGTCACTGATAATGGTGTTAACTTCCCCAACTTGCCGCGTCAAATGGATGTACCATGAGTTTAGTCAATTGATTTATTTTACACTGCAGACATTTTGACTTGTTTTAGCAGGAATAGCAAGGTGTAACTGGGATATCCTTGTATCCCAGTAAGCCATGCCAGTTGGTATGCAGCCATAATTCATTAAAGTTACATGTGCGTAATTTTAAGGTAACTAAAAGCAACAATGTGCTGTTGCTTTTTCTTTCAAATACCGATTAAGTGTTTAAGTGAGTGTATTTTCTGGTTGCTTGCCAGTAAGCTTAGCTACATACAATGGATTTTAAGTTTTGTCACAGCTTTCCAATGCAGAAAACCATTAGCTAAAAGATTATTGCTTCAGATAATTGGTGTCAGCAGCCACCATTTCTGTTGCCATTGTGTCACTGCCAAGGAGTGAAACATAATTTGGAAATACTGAACAAAGAGAGTCTGATACTAGCTTCAAATAAGGAAATTCAAACCTCAAAAATAAGGAAGTGTTTTCTGCTGATAATGCTGTCCGTGTTTAGCAGAATAAGGCATATCTAATAAACAAGGCAAGCCTGTTAAATGTTTATTTGAAGCACTATCTGGAAGAGGCACCATGTGAGTATTTAGAATGTCACATTAGCATGATTGAAGAAGCAGTGTTTCGCAACACATTTTGTAATATTTTTTCCAATTATCAATTGTCATTTCCATTTGCTGCCTTAGCAAACAGCCTGTTTGTAAACAATTTAATTAACCCTAATGCTCCTGAGCTTATTGTTACTTTTTGCATGCATTTTAAATGTCCTTTAGTTATTCTAAGCTGAAACAGTGTTGTTTTCACACGTAACATTAGTTGTGGTTACAGCGGTCATGTTAAATTAAGGCAGAATGAGTGTGTTGGTACAATTGACTATCTTGATGTCAAATCATTATACTTTGTCATTTTGTGGCAATATGTCCACCGTGGGATCAAATTGATCAGCCTGAGTCAGAATTTAATACATCAGTCTCTCTTTTACCCTTTCTGTAGTCAATTAACTTGACAAACAGAGCTCCTGTTTTCAATGCCATAATGGAGGAAAAGCCTTTAACTGCCTATCAAGTTATACTCACTCATGAGTAATGACAACAGAACATCCATCTTGAGGGATCGATGTCGAGCAGTGAAGCTATTAAATAGATCTTCATCATGAAACGCTGTAGTGCACTCTTAAATACAGACTTTTTGCTCCACTACCATTTCATTTTTGCCTGCCAGGGAACTGTGTTTACCTGTAGCTCAGGTCTGTGTGTCTATCTATGATTACACAAGGGGACTGAATGCTAATTATTTTGTCTGGGATGCGGTGTGACTACCAGTGTGGAAAGCATTCAAATAAGAAAACATTTTCTTATTTACCGTACTGCATTTCCATTTTGTGATACTTAAGATAGTACTTTCAATCAACAACATTTATTTGACATTAAATAGTTACTTCGCAGATTAAGATTTTATAAATTTTTAAGTTTATGAAATTAAAACTAGCTTCGCTACAACATTATAGTAGCACTTAAAGCATTAGTTATATAGTAATAAAAGTTTACAATTTGTTATATATATTGTATGTCTATCTGAAGGTGTCAATCCTGCATAGTGAATACTTTTACTTTAGATATATTTATCGGGGCGTGGCTTAGCAAAGGGTCAATTATGTACATTGTAGTATTGCTCCATTTATGTAAAGGACCTGAATACTTCCTCCATCAGGGTTCTTAACTCTAAATGTTCTTCAGTGTCAGTGATTATTATTTTTTAAGGACTGCAAGGAATGTGAAAGGAATATCTGAATCATATTCTGTCGCTCTGCTTATTTCTAAGTAAGAAGTAACAATTCATGACAGAAAGATGCTGTTTTGGATCAATTTCTGGAGCGTTATAGTTACCTGGAATGGTTGAGCGCTGTTGAGGTAGAGAGTCTTCCTGTGCCATAGGTTTCCTTGGTCTCCATATCGTACCCATAGCATGTGTCCACGACCTGTAGCGGTGGTCCTGAGGTACACCGCCAGGCAGAAGACATGTGAGCCGAACATGTGGTAATGGAAGCGGAAAACACAGTAGTGGCGGGGTTTGGACGGATCCTTGCCGCGCTGGTGGGTGGGTTTGAAGACTCTACTCAGCAACACCGCTGTGTCCTTGAACTCCTGTGGGAGAGAGGACTCGATGTAGAGGTAATGGCCGTAGCTGGTGCCCAGTGTGTGGTCCTTCCAGGGTCCTGTGTCAAAGGACGGAGTGGGGCCTTGGATGCGGGTCCAGTCAAACACATCCCCTCCACTCTGTTCTTGTTTCCAGCTGCACAACCCATGCTCGAAGTTACACTGCAGCTCTGGAGCTGTGAGACATCACAGGAAATTAATTTCACTGGAGCCAAAAAACAACATAAAGCTACACTGGATTCAGTTACAGCGGCAATATAAGCTTTGCAAGCAGAAATAGAAACTAGGTACAGCACTTAAGAATCATTTTTAAGTATTTTTACTTTACTTGAATATCTCCATCTTCTGCCATTTTATACTTCTACTTCACTACATTTCACAGGGAAATATTGTACTTTTTACTCCAATTCAGAAAACTATAATCACAAATTACTCTTCAGATTAAGATTTCACAAACCAAGCATATGAAGAGATTAGAAAATATGATGCATTTTTATAGTTTTAACTACCTGAAGAGTGTTTAAAGTAGTTCAAATTAGCACCACCTCCACCAACTAAAACAGCAAAATGCTACTTACAAATCAATGCATTAATTATTATAGATAATAGTATAACATCTTAGGTTACCGGACTTTTACTTTAAGTACATTTTTACAAGTGACATGGCAACACTGATTTAGCATTGCAGTCCTATAACATTGTAGGACGATGGACAGTGTCCAAATTGATGCAGCAGACCTAGAGATATGTTTTTTTTTCATGACTTCCATGTCAAAACCAGCGCCTACATCACACACAATGCAACTCCACCAAAAAGTTCAGTCTAAAATTCAGGGAGTGTAAGCTATGAGCAGCTAACATAGCCCCAAGCGCTCTCTCAAGCAGAGATGAGGAACTGCAGAGGTTTGGTAAGCTCACCTCTTTCTAACTCCACACCAACAGATTTTTTTCATTTGTAGTCACTGGTAGTCTTCAGACCCACCCAATTGACATTACTTGAGTCACGAAAGGCCTTATATAACTTTTTTTTTTCAAATATGTAGTTGTACTAAGTAAAGGATGAGTATTTCTTCCACCACTGAATATTTATAATCAAAAGAGACACTCACAACATCCCTCCTCATCGGATCCATCCCCACAGTGATCCACAAGGTCACAGAGCTGCAAGTGCTCCACACATGCCTTTGTATGCACGCAGTGGAAATGTGTGTGCGAAGGGCACTCTGCTAATGTTGGGGGCATCGAACAGTTCTCAAAGGTAACATCATCCAAGGCAGAGACCCCGTCAAACACACCAAGGCTGATCTTAGCAAGAGCGATCTGGAAGGGCTGCGTGATGCGTCCCAGCTGTACGGTGACCTGGTTCCAACGGGTTCCCTGGTCGTACAAAGTCCTCCATATGAGAGTGTTGTTTAGGACTCCCTTCATTCGGAGGTACATGTCTGCAGCCCCCACGGATATGCCTGAGTTATAATGCCTGAAGAAGATGAGAGAGGAAGCTAAGATTTTACTGACATTAATATTCCAGCAGAGCAATGTGTGCTTTCTTTGGTATTATACTTGAAATTATTTCCTCACACCAGGTACTGTAAATCACAGTTTCCTCTTGTGACAATGCATATACTTGCTAGACACAATACATGAGGGCTTTTGATTAGTCTGCGAAAAAATTTTTACATGTATAAACCTCCTGCACTTTTCTGTCAGGAGTACCCCTCCAATCACCCAGTGGGAAAATAAAATCTGTCATTTGAAATAAAATTTCAGGAGCCATAAAACTTTCAAAACATGACAGATTCAGATGTGAATCTTGTCATTGTGTTTGACTGTGAAATAAGAGAGATGCTGAGCGAGCAGAGCTGAGACAGGTGAAATGATGGTGGGAGGAAAGGGAAAAAGATCAAGAAAAACAGAGGAAGAGGAGAGACAGCAAATGGAAAAAGTCTGGAATTGCAGGTGGATCTACAGATTCAGGTTGTGATAGAGAAGGAAGCTACTGTGTGACTCTCACCAGAAGGTCATGGTGCAGCCGGAGGCCGATTGTTTGAACCAGGGTCCTCGGAGAACAGCCCTTGGATAAAGACTGCTACTGTTCTTAAATATAAACATGAAGTGGCCTGCAGTGAGAGAGATGACATCTACTATTCAAACCATATTCAGCATCTACTTCTTACATTATTACTTAATTTACTATTCGACTTAGTGTTATTGTTGTTGTTGTTGCCAGATTTCAATACCTCTACCTCTGGGATTTTTGTGCAGGACAAGCGAGTCTAGCGAGTATATTAAGAATCATGGGATAGACAAAACATATTCTGTTGACTGCAGTCCCTGTGCCAACACTGTCTTCTTGATGAGTCAGGTCAGAAGACAATGGCGAGACTTGTTTGCTAACAGCAGGGCTACAAATGCTCGGTGCAGCAGCGATGTGCAGAACAACAACAACTCATCAAACCATGGTGGGTTCCACTACTGCATACAACATGAAGATACACACAGAGCTCAGGAAACATATGTCCTATAAGTATTTGTACAGTATACATGTCACTTAGGATGTTCAGCATGTGAAGCAAAATTTGTACTTTATGTTAAGATTATATTTTCGCGATTGCGATGCTAATATCCGTTAGCATGTTAATGGAGATTTCAATTATATGTTAGCATTGAGCTAACCCTCAAAGTGCAATTTATTTTTATTTTTATGGATTGATATGATGGGCTGGAATATCAATACAGTATCGTGGAAAATGTTTAACGATATATTGCTGTATGGATTTTTTGGCACACCCCTAGTTGTAAGACCTTAACGGCTTTTATCCCCAATGGGAAACGCAAACATTACAACAGCACGGAGACAATTACTGTGTTTTGCAAGTGAAGGGCAGTGTGGTGGTAATGCATTCATCAAAATGAAAGACAGAAAAATAAGACATGGTCTGCGACAGGGTATGAAGAGAATGAATCCATTCTGCCTGGTGGTGTGATGGAAAATGTTTTCTTGGCTCCCATTAGGTGCTTAGCTGCCAAATAAGTAGGCCTACTGTTTGAACACCACCACATACCTATACTGTTGCAGACAAGATCTTTGATGGTCACAGTCATATTTTTATAATCTTCAAACAGATGCTCCCACCAGGATATGTGTCATGTCACAAAGCTTGAAGCTGAACATAACAGAGACTTCACTTCACTGCCTGCTCAGTCTCCAAATCTCAACCTAACAGAGCTTCTTTTCACAGCATGTTCACACAATGTACATAACAAAACAACAGATGGTGTTGCTAAAAACTGCACAACTTTGTCGAGTTAGTCTACAACAAAGATTCCTTGTTGAATCCATAAGAATTAAATCTAGGTAGATGTGGAGAAAAGCCTGCTTATAAAGATGTAATGAGTTTTGAAATACAGTAACATGTTGTGAAATAAACTTACTTGTAAGAGAGACTTATGGTGTTTCTGAGTGAGCATAGTGTTGTGTATTTCAGTGAATGATGGGGTGTTAATATGCAGAATGGGTACAGCATTTGTCGATTCCTTTCTGTTATTCAGATGGCTGAATAAGCATTTCTCCATGGAGTGGTTATCTCTCATAAACACACAGATGAGGGATTTCCTTTCCTTCCACAAAACCCCGATCTGATGTGTAGATAATATTGTCTTTTGTTCATTCTGACCAAACATGCTGGACACAGTGACTCAGCTCATCACATTTCTATTCTTATCCCTGTGACTGATGATGGTAACTGCATTTTGCAGATGGCAGAATTTCTACAGCAGTTGTGTGTTTGTTTCTTTACCTTTTGTGCTGTTTGTAGAGTGGTCCAGAGGTGGTGGGCGGCCATAGTAGTCTGGGGGTACCTTGAGAGAAGAACCCCTGACCCAGTCGAAGCCATCGCCAAGGGTGAGCTCATACCAGCCACAAGAACCCCCCTCAAAGTCGCACTCAGAGGCTGAATTAATAGAGAGTTATGAAATTATTTAAATAAAGTTGAGATTGAAAGTTCATTCTTTCGATCACATCATAAGCTCTTCTTCAGCAGAGTCATGGAATTTCCATCTTCCTGAGCATGAAGTTCATTATTTTGTGTGATATTGATTGAACGCTCCAAACCGATACTGATGGACCCTCTGGTGAGATTGTTTTGTTTCGAGATTTTCAATCTCAACTTTTAAACCAACATGGATGTGAAGTCCTGAAAGCCCTCAGAATACTGATTAAACGCCATCTGCTGAGGACGATTATGTGATAATGATCAAGGAAGCCGTAACTCGCACTTCAATGTCTTGGTTGGACATGAAACACTCAAAGTTAAATCATCAGATTAAATATCTGAAAATATCTGTTCTTTGTACACAAAAACTTAGCAGGAGAAGTTAACTACCAAGGTGAGTTTCATCAAGAAACATCAAATCACAGAGCTTAAAATTATGTTGTGTGCGCCACCAGCCGATGGAGCTCAAGATTACACTAGTGAAAAAATTGACAATACAATCAAAATCAATTCACTTTTGGATTCATTCGGCAACTATGATGCAAGGATTTGTTCACAAAATCAGTGATATAGCATTTTGAATTCACTACCACTTCCACCACCGCTTATGACTGTCTTCATAGTATTATCTAGACCCATCCGCAAAACTGACAGAAAAACATTTCTTAGAGACAAAACTTAAATAGTCAAGTGGATTATTTGAATCTGTTACTTGGCAACAAGGTTCTTACGGCAGTTGACTTCGTCCTCTCCATGAGGACAATGTGGAGTGAAGTCACACACTTTGCTTTCCTCGATACACTCTCCACCGCCACAGGCAAATAAAGAGGGAGGGCAGACAGGAGGAGGGGATACAATGCTCCCTGCCACAGAAATCAGAAATGATAGAAAAATGAATGAAATTACAGTATTCAGATGCAAGAGGCACTTTGATAGTGGAGAGCTATAAAATCTGATGTAGACCCAGTAGAGTTACTGTCATTATCACTGACTCCTGTCATGCGATTTTATCATTAAAGAGCATTCAAGGGAGATCATGTTGAATTAATTTAGATGAGCTCAGCTACATCCAGAGAAGAGTTAGTACATTAGCTGTGCTATGGAAGATTAGATTCAACTGTGAAGTAATGAATGAAGTTCAGATAGTTCGATCAATAGTATGTCCAAGACCTCATCTCTTAAATGAACTCGATTTAATTTTGGTTATGAGAATTGGAAACATAAGGGGAAAATTGTTGGAAAATTATTGAAAACAGGTCTTTAAGTGGTTGCTACTTTTTTTGTAGTAAAAAAAATCTTCTACTTTTAGATTTAGTAGTAGTAAAAATAAAAATAATTCCTTGTTTTTTCAAAGAAAAAAGCAAAAAAGACATAAATGAAAAGGTGGTTTCATTTAATCTGGCTCATTAGACATCAGAAGGATAAATTTTCTGCTAAAATGATTAAGGTAGGGCAGGGATTCTCAAGAGCAGGCTTCACAAGACCTGGTCTGGCAAAATAACTGTGAATATCAGCTAGGCATATAAAAGGTTATAATAAATTTTATGGTGGCCAGCTCACACCGAAAACATGTAAAAATCGCTTAAAAGCAAGGGAAACTCTTTACAATAAATATGCAATATAGCCAAAATACAGTATCTAGATTATACAGCTTGCCCGCAGACCTTCTATGGTTATTAATGAATGAATGAGGAAGTAGGGATTGTTATCTGCCTTCTTTGCAATTCAAGCTCATCATTTAGCAAACATCCTAGAAAAACTGTGGTGCTGGGGTTCAGACCATTGACATCTGACTCAAACCTGTGACATTAATACTGCCTCTAGAACAGCTCTGGCTCTTTCCAGCTCTACACTGTGGCCTTGATGCCCCTCTGGGGAAAGGAGAAGGCCACAGGCTGTAGCCTGAACAAGACAATCAATAAAGAAGGTTCAGCTCCTGTTTTATAGGCAGAGAGCAGAAGCATCATCCAGAATTGGATGAATAATAGCAGTTGTAAAGATATGATCGTTTGTGCTTGCAGCTGAAAAACGCGTATATCAACAAGACAACATGTAAAAATTCTGTCCAAAACGCCAAGTGGACAGTGCTTTATCAAATGCTCCCAGCCAAGATGTTCATCCGTGTCATATTCATCACTGAGATGAAGGCAGCGCACTATAGCAGACATAAATAAGCCCATAGATTGTGGCACTGAATGTGCTCCATATTCAGTGCAGGGAAATATGTCGTAAGCACTATTTTAATGATTCAGTTATTCTGTTATGAAGCCCATCCTGGGTGCCTTAATGTCTTCCCCTGTTATCAGTATTCAAAACAAGTTTGTGGCAGTCTGTTTATCTGTGGCGATATTTCAAAATGTCAAGTTCTGAACTTGTCCCGTCTGTGTAGTGAGATGTTATTAATGGTAGCAGTACCAGCCACAGCCACGCAGCCGGGACTGAAGGATAGGTCATCGATGGCCAGGACCTCGGAGGCTTCGCTGTCTGCTGAAAGTTGACCTCGAATCACCACCTGGTTGACACACAGAAAACCTTCAAGAAATCACTCAGTCATCTCTTTTACCCTCTCTATACAATCTATCTATCTTTGTGCACTTTCTGTATGTGTGTGCATTAAAAGATTTGCATGTAGCATGTACCACATGTGTGTGTTGTGCCAATACTAACCCTCCTGAGTCTACAGCCCAAGTTATTACAGATGGCAATCCATCTAATAGTTACTGATACATTTCACTCAACACCACAAATGTCTAGAGGAAACGTTAGAGGAGAAGTCAGCAGGCAGGTAGTACAAAAGTTCAAGGAGATCTACTATTTAACTTGAATGAAACTTTGACCAGCTTGGAGCACTAGAGGAAAACTCAAGGATTCATCCTCTGGGCACCATACATCTACAAAATTTCATTACAATCCATCTAATAGTTGTTGAGATTGTCATTACATCACCATCCACAGAGCTACAATGCCAGCCAGCTAAAAACAAAAAAATGTTTCTGTCACAGTGCTAATATCAAAGCTTCACTGATCGAAGTCCACAGAGACAGCTTTATCTACACCAATGGAGTTTTATAACCCATCATTTATGACTGATGTAAACAAATGGCAGATTATGTCATCATGGGTGATGGAAAAATGCACTTAAATACACAATTATCATTGGTCATACTTATCAGCTAGTATTTATTTTTTTCCCAAAACCAGACTTTGAGGCCATAAAAGTAATACAATCTATGGAATAATAGCAATGAGTACATAACTGTTTATAACAACATAACTTACTTATTGTCAGTAGAAGCAGCTCTACAAAATAATCCTTAATCACACCATCGATAAGAGTTTATGTATTTCTGATTAAAGCTATAGGCCAAATGTTTATATATGCATATAACCTATTATTTTAGGCGAATATGTTTAACTTAAGCAGGTGAAAATGTTCAGATCATTAAGCAAACTGACTGAAATTGAAATCCCCCAGAATCACTGTGGTAAATAAAAAACCCAATTAACTCAACTGCCTTTAAAACAGGAAGTAGATTAATGGAGGGGAAAATTAATGTTAGCAGAGAGTTGACCTCTCTTTACCCCCGGATTTGGTTCAACCGCGTTATGAAACTGGCTGTAGTCAGAGACAGATGGTGAAGGCAGAGAGGGTGACACACTGACATTGTCTGAGGATATAGCAAGGACACAAACAGCAGGCTTCACAGAACTCCAGATGGCCTCTGAAGGGTCCGGTTAGGTCAGTACCCCATCGCTGCACATATACAGCTCCTGTCCTGTGCAGCTAATTTCTGTTGTGATAACTTTATAAGTCTCAAGGAAACTTACGTATGTTGTATATCCTAAATGGTTTATCTTAACATGAAGTAAAATATCAACAAATATGTTCTTAACAGTAGTCTATAGTATAACATACTGCGAAACAATATGGTATAATTTCACGTGAAGCACGGGCCAATGGTCTAAGATGTAAACTCTGATAAAAATATGGTTATTTTGATGTGGATACAAGCTGTAACCACAGCAATGATTTATTATAATATGTTCAATTGATATGGCAAAAATATTTAATATTTACATGTCTAGCAAATGCGAAGCAACATTACCATTCATTTGGAGTTGTGTTTTTGATGACTTTATGGATTTTAGTTCAATATTCACTCACTTTTTAGCTCTGTTTTGGTCTCCTCCATCTCCTGAGGAAAATATACAATACTGTATGTTCACCAGCTAGGTGCTAGTTTTGTCTGTGTGCAGTGAGGTTGTTCAAGTTAGTGCAGTGTGAGGTCAGAAAACCAAAACAAGATGCAAAATGCAAAATGCAAGATGCTGAAAGATGCAAAAGAGCTCAGAAGAGCTAAAGGGAGCTACAGTCTAGGGATAATTCTCTGTGGTTTCATTTCACAGACAAGTAGTCATGTGATCCATTGTTAATATAAAAATATTATTATTATAGCTGCTTTAAGACTTTTTGTTTTACTAAAGTAAAAATTATGATAACAGTATCAGGCTAAGAAAATACACAGGCACAACTATTTATAGTATGTACTATATATACTAGTTGTCAGAATATGCTTTAGTACACAATATTTTTTTCACTTTACTGTGTTATACTATCAGGAAATAGTTCAACAAATGCACCTGCATACATCAATGAAACTACTAAGCTTTCAAAAGGAGCTGCCAATTAAACTTCACACAGAGAGGTTTAACAGCTCCTCCATTTCCTGTGATATTGCTACTTTTACTCAAGTAAAAGATACAAGTACTTCTTCCACCACTATGTTTAATATGCAGTGTGAGTGTTTTTGGGTATACGTTATTTTAAAACTGTCTCTCAAACCTTGCTCAGAATTAGCCTGCAGCACGGGACACATCTAATGTACTACGGCCAAATCAGCACTTCTTTCCAGGTCACAGTCCTTTGGGGGCACTATTGGGCACCTAAATCAGGGTGGTTAGACTTCTTTTAAGTTTTTATTTCAAACTAAAATAACACAAAAACTTCCTGAAGAAAAGAGCGCCTACCTCTTGCGTATACAGTCTTTCTAGACTTCTATAAGAAATAGGGGAGCAAAAACAGAAGTGTCTGCTGGGCCTAAGGTAATATAACACCTGATTGGGCGATAACTGCCTGAAAAACTTGAGTCTGGAGTCATATGTGAAACAGATGTAACACACCTCAGAATGTATTAATTGGCAAATCAGACTTGAAATAAGATGAACATTACACAACAGGGTGATAGACCATAACATACCGTGATATATGTCGTAGTATGCATATACTTATACTACTATACTGCAATTTTAAAGAGCAACATAAAACTTTATTATAGTGAATTGTAAATGTTACAGACCTGAAAACTGTGATTGCTGGAAAACGTAATCACTGTCCGAGGCCACATTTCCAGCTGTGGTTGGGTGGAGTGTTTCCACACCTCTGTCTTCTGACCCAGTTTGTGAGTCTGAACCAAGACCTGAAGATCTCCATGTTTTGCCTCAACATAATGGTAGAAACTCATCTGTTAAACAAGAAAATGCAAAAAAGATATCACCAGCCATCGTCATGTTGTTGTTGATGGTTCAGCCTGCATGCCAAAGTTACCCAAACAGAGGATTTTGTCACCTGGCATGTCTGACTGGGCAGAAAGACAGGGCTGTTCAGGTCTGCTGTTGTTCTGTTTCCTCTGACGGGTGAAAGCGACAGGAAATGTGCTAAAGGCCAGAGAGAAGTGTGGGAGTGCATGCATTAAACATGAATAAAACAGATACAGTATAAGGCGAGGGTTGTGAATTCAAAATAGATCTGTAAATGCAAGCAGATGCCGGATTCTAATACCTGATGTGCTGTTGATGTGGTCATGTTTAAGTCCCAGGACCTCAGTTGTTCTGGTCCATCCAAAGTGCGTCTCTGAGCTCTGAATCAGGTCACAGAATCCCTCCTCAAAGTCACACCTCTTAAATCTGGAGCCTTCAACAGAAAACACTTTTCACTTGTGCTCTTTTGTGTTTCACCCTGAAACATATTTTAATCTGTATACTGGGAGTAAGCTGTCGGTTCTAAGCACCATACAGATTCATCAGCACAGCTCAGAAACTAAGTGGTTTCTCATTTTAAGCAGGGATTCTTATTTGGCTCTGCGGCCAAATGTGCAACAAGGGACTGTAAAGCATTAGTGGTAATATTGAATTTTCAGAGATGTGCTAGACAGGATCAGCAACAAAAACTTACATTCATATTGCTTCATGTTTTAAGATGTATAATAAATTTTAAATCTTCTCAGAAGCCTTGTGCATTTTAATTTACTTCCCGTTTTTTTGGTTGTCCTGGTTGTTGGGTACACTGTGTTAAAAGGTGTGCACACATCAATTATGCATTAAGTGTGTGTCCAAGTCGACATTCAGATCTGTATGTTTGTGTTAATGTGTAAGAAATGCTGCCAATGATTTATATGCTAAATTTGGATTTTACTTAATTGTTCACATGGAGAAAAAATAATGTATATATGTGTATTTGATCGATGAGAGATTGTCCCCTCTAAATCCAGATATTCATATGCAAATATATTTGCACTCCAGCATGTACAACATTTCATTATGCAGTTTGTACATATAGTTTGTGCATTTGACATTTTAACATACTTTACTAATTTTCATCCTTTATATTTCTTTTTTTTATCCTTATTTTTCACACTAAATTAAGAGTAGCCATCCTGATTTCACTACACTACACATACATTGCTTGTGTATGTTACAATTAAAAACTCTTTATTTCTTGAATCCTTGAACTACCAAACTATTAACAATAGCCTCAAAAACACAAGGCACAGGAATACACATAGTCTGCCCTTAGGCTTTTGTAAACTTCAAAAGCAACTATAATGTGAGGAAAAAGTCACAGTTTTAAAAGATGTGTGTTGCTGTCGGGGCTCTTTAGAGGATACACAGACATTTGTTTAAAGTAAAGAAATGTAAAACAGTGTAACTTCCAAGGTAGAAAAGTTTCTAAGAACTTTAAGGATATATTTAAGTATACTGCTTTTATAGTGTTAAGCCAGGGTTTTTTATTTGGTACAGAAATGCGTGTGACCTAAGTGTAAGACAATTAAACATCGTTCATTAATTATTAATGCCTTTTAAACTAATTTATTTAGACTATTTGCATGAAAGCAAGTAATGTTTAAATAATGTATGATATACTAAACAGGAACTTAAAATATTGTATTAATTAGGCCCTTTTCTATGATGGTTATTAACAATATGATGTTTGAACAACACTCCCATTATTGTAAGAGGGAAATGAACACTAAAAAAACTGTTAAATAAAAAACATCTATTATCCAGTCCAAGTCAGGCACTAAGTGGTTCTTCTAAATCAGGTACAGCTGTTTTGTCAGTGAAACACATGTTTGTCATTTCAGCTGGAAATGGAGTTGATGGTTTTGAGTGAAATGCCATAATACTACATCATGGATGTGTTGTATTTACTCTCCATGTCAGTGAAAGTCCCCTCAAAATGTTACTTTCACTTTTACACAACCAGTGAGCAGCATTGTAAAATATCTGGAATGAATATTTTAACAATATAACTTCAGTTTTTCTCTGTTCTAGTCTCCTCCTCATATTGTTTT